ATGAATATGTATAAACATATCAGTGAAAAGTGGGTGAATGAAAGGCAGTAAAAATAGGAAATGTTTGCTGAAAGCAATGCAAACAGAAATGCCTTCTTGTTAAATTCTTCGAATACAAATTTTAAATATTGTCTTAAATTTCTTGCTGGTTTACAGGCATTATTTTTTTTCTTCCAAAAATTAAGTTAGCCTCAAGGAATTTCATTCCCAAGAAAATGAACACAGAAATGAATGTAAAAAGAAGCTATTAAAAAAAAACCCTGTTCATTAATTATATAAAGCACTATTTTACTTACACTATTTTCTCCAACTACCATTTCAAATTATTCACCCTTCGAAGTTCCTATGTTTCCCTCTCTCCGTGTGTGTGTGTGTGTGTGTGTTTAAAATGCAGGAATAAAAATGCTCCTAACACACCACAACTTTAAAGGCTATTTTTTGTTTCAAATGCCAGACTTTCTGAGCCAACATTTTGGTTGCTAAGCAAGAGCGTTGTTAAGTGATACTGATATTATATAACACTTTTAATTAAGCAGGTACCTTGAATAAACATAACTGAGTTTCAAATAATACTGATTTCGTTGTTGTCTTAGGTGACATCTGTGAAAAAAAAATCAGGTGCTCAGGCATGAAAATGTGCTGCTCAAACACTATACTTTTTTGCTCACACTGAAAAATAATTAGAGGGAACATTGCCCCCAACATGAGTGACGTTGAACTGACCATGCCCACTCTGGCCATGGTCCCCTGGCTCCCCGAGGTCAAACACAACCCTGATACGGCCCTCAATGAAATCGAATTCGACACCCCTATTGTAGAGGGTAATGCCACTAACCAGAAATCATCAGATGATGTTACAATGTTTTATAGGTGGGACAAGTGAAATAATATGCAAAGAACACTTACGATGCTCTTCTTCAGCAAGGGCTATAACAGCAGCCACTACCTTTATCCCTTCTTGAACGACTTGAAGTTCGGCAGAATTCTCTGGTTTAATTTTTTCTGTTTCTTGTAGCTTGGCCACTATTGAATATATTAATGAATGAATATAAGGATATGAAACAGTTTGATTGGGACACTGGAAAATGGAAAGGAGCAGCTGGTAGCATTTAAGTTGTACCTAAAAAAGAAAGAATTATTTAAAAAGATAGTCCATCCGAATGTAAAAAAACAAGTTAAACCTGCCATTGGGAACTGTTATTTGTATAATTACTTTATGCACTAAGTACTACAAGTTTCTACAAGTTTTTTAAAGCTAATTTAGCTAAAGTTAAAATCCTGAAGTTACGTAACTCTATAAATTAGAAAAGACTATTTGCTTAAGGACACCATACATCCTCAATAAAAGTAACAATGCTGTGATTTGTATAAATGCCTTCACAACAAGAGGAAGAACATAAAGTCTTGGAGCCCAAGATAAGCATATATAACGATGTTTATATAAGGAAAGCTTCCTGCCTTGTAACCATTTGCATTTTCCCCAAAACCTGGGAGTCATTCCTGAACAATATGGGAAGAAGGAATTGGACTTGCTAGGTGGGGGAAAATCTGGGGAAAAATTCCAATTGTGAACTTCCTTATGTTAGAAATCAAGTCATACTTGATTCAAGTCAAAGAGTTAAAGTAAGAATGTCAACTACTGTGAAGATTCAAAGTTCTCTTGATCTGACATTTCAGCTTTCCTAAATAATTTGTCAGGATTGATGCAATTTAGCACATATTGACTATATAAAGTAGAATCAAATTGTAAATGGGCTGATTCAGCTGGTTGTTTTCATTAACAAAGCTGTGGGCTAATAACAGGATGGAACCATGGAGGATCATTTATTCTATAGTCACCCATCCCACTTTCAATGGTGGGAGGCATATGTTTATTCAATGAAAATAGCTACAGAACAAAAAAGTTGGAAGGGGCCTGGGAGGTTTTGAATCCCCTGCTCAGGAAGGAAACCTTATTCCACAGGTGTCAAATTCAAGACCCCGGGGCTGGCCTGGAAATAGCCAAGGACTAGTCTGCAGTGCCTCTGGCAGGCAAAGCAGGGCATGGGACTGCATCGCCCCCCCCACAATGCCCCATTTTGGCTGGCAGGGTGCTGCAGGAGGTGTCCATCCCATCTCCCCACCCCCACCCCTTAGCTGACCTGCAGAGGAGAACTACAATGCTGATCCGGCCCTCTAAGAAATCTAGTTTAATACCCCTACCCTATTCCATTAGGGCTAAACAAGCACATAGCAGAGCAATGATAGCAAATCTCAAAACGAGTTTAAGTTGTACTTACAATGGGATCTTTAGATTCCATAGCTGATTTAAATTTCTCAATGCACTGTCTCTGAAAACATTCCATGGTGCTAACTTCTGGACTTGCAGACAAGATAAATACAGTGATCGCAGTCAGCAGACTACTTTCATCCAATTCTTGACCAGCATCACCTACCAATAATAAGACATTTTAAAATATCTGAAATGGGACTAATTACAACATCAAAATATTAAGGTCAAGTTCTGATATCATTTTTGAACGAAACTCTATAATAAGATATTATTAAGCACATACATGTACTCCTTAAGACCACAATTGAGCCCAACGTTTTTGTTGCTAAGCAAGACAATTGTTAAGTGAGTTGCGTCCCATTTTACAATATTTTTTCCATAGTTTAAGTTGCAGTTATTAAGTGAATCATGCAATTTTTAATGAATCTGGTTTCCCCATTGACTTTGTTTGTCAGAAGCCAGCTGGGAAGGTTATAAATGGTGACCACATGATTCCAGGACAATGCAATTGTCACAAATATGTAGTTGCCAAGCATCCAAATTTTGATCATGTGATTATGGGGATGCTGCAACAGTCATAATTGTGAAAAATAAGTCACTTTTTTCAGTGTCCTTGTAACTTCTAACGGTCACTAAATGACTAAGACTACCTGTATCTTTTATGTCTAATGCATACTTGTACAGGTAGTCTTTGCTTAACAATTGTTCTGTTTTAACAACTGTTCGAAGTTACCATAATGCTGAAAAATAACTTCATGATCAGTTGTTTCACTTATGACTTTTGCAATGTCCCCATGGTTCAAACTGAGGACGCTTCACAACCGGTGGGAATTTCTGACCATTGCAGCATCTCACAGTCATGCGATCACCATTTGTATGCTTCATATCCAATTTCTGACAAACAGAGTCAGTGGATCTGGCAGGAAAACCGCAAGTTGCGGTCACACAATTTCTTGCTGAGTGACAGAGTTGCTTATTCCAATAGGGGTTAAGCAAGGACTAAATGTAAAGTACTACTGAAATATTTAATGTCAGGTAAGATTTTTAAAAATAAACTGCTTATATTTTTATCTTGTATTAAAGCTGTAACTGCAAAAACATTTTAAAATGGTATAATTCCAATAATAAGAGATTGCAGTGATACTCCTCATGCTATATACTAACCACATGGGGGCAGTGGAGTAGTAAATGGAGAATTAAATATTTACTTCCTGTTCCTTTTGCCCAATAGACTGCAAACCTCCATGACCTATAGCAGTGATGGTGAACCTATGGCACGCCTGTCAGCTGGCCAGTGCACATGCGCATGCTGGCCAGCTGAGTTCACCCTTTTTTAAAGCCATTTTTCGCCCTCCCCAGACTCCAGAGGCTTTATAGGAGCCTGGGGAGGGCCCCCATGAGCTTCCCTGAAGCCTCCGGAGTGCAAAAAAACCAGCCCTATGGGCAAACCGGAAGTTCAGGAATGGACTTCCGGTTTGCTCGGAGGGTCGTTTTGACTGCTCTGGAGGCTTCAGAGAAGCCTCCTAAAGGTCCCTGAAGCCTCCGGAGGGCTTCCGGGGGGGTGGGGGAGGTTGTTTTCGCCCTCCCCAGGCTCCTATAAAGCCTCTGGAGCCTGGGGAGGGCAAAAAAAGCATGCAAAAATGGGGGACGCCTGTAGTGCGTGCACGCCCACACATGACTCCCCCTGCGCTCCCTCCACTTATGGCATGCGAGGCAAAAAAGATTCGGCATTGCTAACCTATAGAATACAAAGTAATAGAGTTGGAAGGGACCTCTGAAGTCTTCTACTCCAACCCCCTGCTCAAGCAGGAAATTCTATACCATTTTAGAGAAGTAGCTCTCCAATCTCTTCTTAAAAACCTCCAATGATGGAATACCCACAACTTCTGGAGGCAAGCTGTTCAACTGGTTGATTGTTCTCACTGTCAAGAAATTTCTCCTTAGTTCTTTCTGCCTTCCTTCTCTGATAAACTGAGCAGGTACTCTTCAATTCTCTGGTAGGAAGGTGTCAGGCTTTATCTATTATTATGATTTGCTCCCTGTACATAATTTCCTTTCTGTTATAGAAAATATGTTTCTTAAATAATTGCTTTCTACTCTCAGAAACACTCACATACATTTCAACCTCCAACATTTACCATTTCTACTGATGTTGGAATTCCAACATTCTTAATAGCGTAGCATCTCTATCAAGACTACTTCGGTTGGCAAAATTTAATGTGCTTTTAATTTTAATGGGCTGTGGTGGCACAAACACTCTGCCAACAAAACCCGGCTCCCCGAGCTCCATTTTTGGCTGGGGTAGCCTCCTGCCACCCTCTGCCAGTGAAAATGGAGCTCGGGAGAGCCATGTGCAGCCTTCCCAAGCTCTGTTTTTGCTGGTAGAGGCACTATGGGTCGGTCCTTTGTTGTTTCCAAGGTGACCCCGTGGGCTAGATCTAAGCACCCTGCAGGCCGGATCTTCCTCCAGGGCCTTGAGTTTGACACCCCTGCTCTATATGATACTTATACCATATATCTGAGCAAATTTCTTCCCATTTATATTGTACCTTGATCCCAAAAATTAAGAATGGTGAGCAGAGCACTACGGAGCAATTCATTCCAAGCCATTTGGCTCTTCTCTGCCCGAGCCATGGGTGATGATAGGACACCTTTAAGAGCTTGCAGTGATGCAGCAACAGTCATGGGTAAGTGGCCACTGGGTAACTTCACAGCCGTTTCTCTGAGGACTCCAATAATCAGATATAAGATTGTGGGAAGAACAGCAATGCTTCCTGAAGGATATAGCAAATGCATGTTACAAATATGATAGTTAAAAATCTTGCATCGTGCATTGAATAAAACATGAGTTCCAACATGCCTTTATTGGGACTCCATTATTTCAAGCTCAATGTTGTAAGAATTGTCACTTCTAAATTAAGCATCAATTTAATGCTAACAAAAATATTTGTGATGAGATTAATTTAGGAAAAACAATCACTGCAACTAACATACAACATAAACTCCCTTACTGATATTTATTCAACCATTGATCAGTATGAAATATTTGGAATTAGTATTAATAAAATTGACTCGAATGTCAAGTGCTGGCAAAGAATAACTAATATTTCTTTTCTACTTTGTGAAAAAAGAACCTTCTTTTTTAAAAATAATTTTCAAAGCACCATTTTTTCTGTGTGTGCTTTATGTTACTGCTGGACTCCAATCTCCAACAACTTCAGTCTGGATGGCCCAAGCTAAAGGTTGGTGGAAATTACATTTCAATTTCTGGAGGGCATAAATTCCCATTGTTGACTTAAACTTATTCAGAGAGGTCTCCTTCACTGCATAAATAACTTCAAATATGTAAATTAAAAATAGTACTGAAAGAAGCATGCGGTAATCAGTTCCATCCATCTGCATCAGCCCCGAATAATTAGGAAGTGGTAAAAATAATGATGACAGATCAACAGATAGATCCTACAATTAATCTGTATTAAAATGGTAAACCCATGGTGGGTTTTACTCAGTGTACCTGAAATAATAATAATTTTGTCACTCCTACAAAATCTGATGTAAAGGCGACCGAAGGGTATGTCACACTTTAAAGATTCTGCTTTGTCTCTTTTATGTGCGTTGCTTGTTTAAAACGTGACAGTATAGTATATTATTTCATTTCTTTTGTAAAATTCATGAATGTGAATCTATCATGGAATGCTTATGACAGCTAGAGCTAGAATCTGCAGCTAGATAGTATGCAGAACTGAGTGGTCCTTGGTGCTCTCTGAGTTTGGTTGTTTTTTTGAAGATGTTTCATTACCCAAAAGAGATAACATCATCAGTGCTAATATGTTATCTAGTTTGGGTAATGAAATGTCTGCAAGAAAACAACCAAGCTCAGAGACCACCAAAGACTTCCCATTTCAATCCTGATCTACAAATATTCTCCTTTATTGGTGTACAGAACTGTTATGTTTCATCCAAATTGTCATATTCTAATAAGCACACTAAAAGATAACTGTAAATACCAATTTTAATAATTCTGATATGTTAAGAATTTACTTCCATAAGAATGCTTTTGAATGAGATGGCTAAGTCAGCATTGCAAAAGATGTTTTATTTATAAAAAACCTTTTATTGAAATTTTTTTAAAGCACACACCAATTGCTTGAAGTTGTGTGAATTTACTGTCTTTACTGTTTTAGTAAATAACCTTCAATTCATAAAATGAGGAAAACAAACTAAGATCCTTCTCAGTCTGTGGCTTAAATATATCCTTTTCACTTCGCACATTGCCTCTTTATTTCTTTTGCAAAAGAAATAAAAATAAATAAAAATTCCGCAATGTATAGTGGAATTTCATCCTACCTTCTGGTGAACAGACTGCAGGAACACCAGAGAGGATTCCCAGGGCTGCTGCCACCAGTCTGTTCCCATCCGCTGATAACAACTGAGGTTTTCCAGCTGTAATTCCAGGGCTACCTGTTATCTTCAGGTTTAGCTGAGGTAGCTGCCTTACAAGAACACACATACACATTTCTAGTGTTGCAAAGACTAAAGACTTCCCAGGTATAAGTCCTCCAGTATCTTTGCCTTCTCCAAACTCTGGCAATGTCTCCTTTTCTTCAGCCCCATCATCAACTATAGTGAAATAAAGGGTAAATATTATGTTTTATTGTCAAAAAATCCTCTTTGAAGCTTCTTAAATAGCTTCTGGTTGCAGTGTTCTTATTTGTTGGGTAGTATATATCCCCTATAACCACTGATGCAGCATGCACAAACTGTGCATTGATCTGCTATATAAATAATCTATGCTATCAGAAGAACTTGGAATACTGCATCCAGTTTTGATTACCATAATACAAAAAAGATGTTGAGATTCTAGAGAAGAGCAACAAAGTTGATTAGAGGACTGGAGACATATGATGAACAGTTGCAGGAACTGGGAATGTCTAGTCCAATGAGAAGAAGGACTAGGGGTAACATGATAGCAGTCTTTCAATATTTGAAGGACTATCATAGAGAGGAGGGGATCAACCAAATGAAAGCACCTGAGAGCAAGACAAGAAGTAATGGATAGATGCTTAACAAAGAGAGATCCAACCTAGAACTAAGAGGAAATTTCCTGTCAGTGAGGACAATTAACTAGTGGAACTGTTTGCCTCTAGAAGTTGCATGATTACCAGAGGATTTTAATAAGAGATTGGACAGCCAGATAAATGGCTGCTGTGGGGGAGAGGAGGATGCACAAGGGGCCAAGATGGCATAAGTGCCCTGAGTCTTGCGGTGACTGCTGCCAGGCACAGATTTATCCGGCCAACTTGTGACGTTCCCTATCAGCTTTGTTTATGGAAAACTAGCAGAGAAGGTCAGAAATTGTGATCATGCTACTATGGAATGTTGCAATCATAAGTGCTCCAAGCACCCAGATCATGAAACATGACTGCTGGGGTGCTAACACAACCAGAACTTTAAAGTCCAGTCTTAAGTACCATTTGTCCAGTGCTAACATAAATTTGAACAGTTGCTGAATGAGTGGTTATTAACTGAGGATTACCTGTAGAGCTGAAAACTGCTGCAGAAAAGTATTTAATAGCATGGGTGACAAATTTTTCTATCTCATTTACAAGACACTGCAACATTTGTCATTATTTAAAATACCCCTTTAAGGTACATATGTTTTACAAAGAAGTGAATTGTCATCTATCCTGAATGCTAGAAATTAATTTTGTAAAAATGCTGAGAATTCTTTGTTGAGCATATTAAAGTTCCTTGAAAAATTACAATGTCCACGGTTACTCATAAGAGAGACCACATCATTTTATTCATTTGGGATTGTAGAATAAAATAGAATGCCTTTTGTTAAAATTAGCTGTAGTCATTCTATCAAATCTTTACTATACTTAAAAGGTAAGACAACTATGAAAATAAAAAAAGGAATTTGCTCAACTACTCTTTACTAAAATTATCCCTCTCCATTTTACCCTCAATTTTTAATCTGAGACAAACAGAAATGATTCAAAATCATGAATTCAAAACATACTACTGTGAATAAATGAAGGATTTGTTTCATCTAAAATGAAACAACTGTCATAAGAAGTTTGATCAAGTCTATTATACGGCTCTACCTTCTGCACTTCTCCGTTTTTCCTTGACATGCTCCTGTGCTGCAAAAAGAACCTGCTGGACAACTTCTAGAGCAGCTAGTTGAATGTCTGGGGATTCTCTGGTCAGTATAAGTCGATGTAAAACATTCAACAATTCCACACTCAGTTCCTATATATGGGAAATACAGCAGACTGTTCACTTAAGTTTTAATACAGTATATTTAATACAATTAAGGTAGATTAGAATGAGTGGAAGAGAATTGGCCCCAAATACTTGCTCGATTCAAACCTGAAAAATTCAGGTTTTCAGGGTCAAATCCTATTAAAATATCAAAATTAGAATACAAACCCTTTTAAAATATCATAACTAGGATACATGTCATGTGTTAAGAGATTTTTCATGCCTTTCCATAGGCATAGCTTTTAAAAATAATTTTCATCTTCTGTGTAGTGGGTTCAGTGGGAATACAAGGAAGAACTGTCTGAAGGAAAAACAAAGGCAATGTTTTCAGCCTGCGCTTTTTTCCCTTTAGTTTTTAAGAGGAAGGTTGCAGGACTATGCCATTATGGATTTTTTTGTTTACTGCAAATTTCAGCTTCATGATATTGAAGAGAGCCAAAAACCATCAGAATAAAAGGGACTCAATACTGTAGAACAATAACACTTTAATATGTATCTGTTGAAGTTATAGTAGTAGTAACATTTAAAAATTTTTTTCCAAACCATGGAACTATATATTTCATAACAAAATGAAATGCAGTGGGGTGTTCCTTGAATAACTGAATATAAAAACTGCTGTTCTTGATACAGATGTCATGGATCATGTATAAGTGCCTTCTTATAGTAAATGTCCCATGTGAGTTTATTAATTATAATAATTCTTACATTAGTAATTAATTAATTATACTCTGGCCACACTTAAAATTATCGACTCCCCTACTGATCACAAAGGAAAGAAAATACTGTTAAAAGCAACTCTGTAAGCTGGATAAAGTAATTGCTACATAAATTACTGTATTTTTCGGAGTATAAAACGCACTCCTGGTGGGTGAAATTTTGGGTGCGTCTTATACACTGAATGTAGAATGTAGTCCCACCCACCCACTGGTCCCCACCCTTCAGCCATTTTTGGCCTCTGCATGTCACATTTTAGACCTGTTCCAGGCTGCAGGGATTACCACAGACCATCGCCGCTTCCGTTCCTCACATTTTTGGTCTCTGCATGCCCTGTTTTTGGCCTCTGCATGTCGCATTTTTGGGCAGTTCTAGTGGGGATTGTGGCTGATGCCGATCCCCACTGCCTGGAACCTCCCAAAAATGTGACGCACAGAGGCCAAAAAGCCAGCCTGGAACAGCTGCTGCCTGGTTGGTTCTGCTCCATGCCTGCTGTACTCACCGGAGGTGCCTTAGTAGTTCAGCTGCATTTTCGAAGCTGCATTTTAGCCGCAAAGCGGGTACTCACAACCAGCAAACTAGTAATGTTCACCTCTGGGAACAGCTGATTGGGGATATTCCGGGAAGCCGATCCACCCTCCAATCAGCTGCTTGTGCTGAATCAGACTGCAATAATGTACTGAAGCTGACCAGGCTGTTTGCTAAGGACACTAGCCAGATGAATATTGATGGATGCTGGGAGGCAGAGGCAGAATTTTTTTTCTTATTTTCCTCTCCCAAAACTAATGTGCGACATACTCTGGAGCGTCTTATACTCCAAAAAATATGGTACTTTGTCACAGAGACTATTCAAACAGCTGTCACATTATGCCCATAACACAAGGTAAAGGAGACTTTAAGGGAAAGTACCATTTCTAAAGACATTTGGCAAAAGCATTCATAATATTCAGAACTAACTCAGAATTTGAACTAACTCAGAATTTTTGAATGTTACCTTATCACTTCCAACCTTCGATCTTGGCCAGGGAACCTCAAGCAGGACCCGCAAGGCATCTAGACAAGCAGTAATGTTCTCCATCGCTTCATCTGACCGGGGAGAACAGAGAAATTCCACACTAATCCCTAAAGAATTAGTGGAATCAGGGAACATTAAATGAATTAAACATGAAGTTTAAAAATATAGAATTTATATTTATATTTCACTTTTCATTGAGAAAGCAAATGGTGATACCACTAATTAAAACAATTTACAATAAAGTCATTGTTAATGACATTCTCTAAAATGACATTCTCACAGTGTAGTCAGAACAATGAGAACAATGAATGGAAACGGTATAGCATGAAGTTGAATTAATGGCGTGAATGAACTAATAGCACATTAGTTGGCAGGAAATTCCAGATGTGCTCCTGTATCTAAATTAACCTGTCTTGTGCGGCCTACTGAAAACGCTAAGCCAATGTGGCTTTCTTAATACTTTGGAGGATAGAATAAGAAAAAAAAAAGATACTTTGTAAGATATCCAGGTTTTAAACACTTTTTCCCTTTGATAGAGGGAAAAAACATTCTATTTACAGTAATTGTAAATAGAATTGTAAGCTATTTAAAGAAATTGTTGTAAAAGAGCCCAGATTATGCACATGATTTTTCAGAGGAAATGCACATTTGCAAGAAGCTGGCTGTTTATTTATTTCATTTAAAAGCTGCCCAACTCAGAAACAGTAAGTAATGCTCCTAATTCACAAATCAGAGAATTACTAATTCCGCCTCTCTATATTGCCAGGATTTTTTAGCTTCATCAATTGCACTTCATTCAGTCAAAATGATAATGTTTAACTATATATACAAACTTTCATAAACAAAAATAAGTCACAATAGCATAAATTCAATTACAAGCATATGTTCTATGTGCTCATAAGTCATTTGTCTGACGCAATAGAATGGATCTTCTGAACTACATGTAATTCCATACAGAAAGGCAGTTCTATTCATTGTGGTCTGTAGTCATTCTTGATTTAACCATAACAGTTCATAGCAAATTTCAGTGAACCTGGCAAAAATGGTCCACAAAAAATATGGTAAAGAAAAGTTTACATAGTTACTAACCCAGAACAAGATGAAATCTATCATTATTCACATCTTCAGGTGATTTTACTGCACCCCTAGAGGTTGAATCTTGACACATACTAGTTGGAGTCACAGGTCGTGAAAGATTAGTTAGACCTTCATCTGAATCACCAACCAGAAAGCCAGTGCTAGTAAGCCATAATGCAGTAGCATGAAGAATCTGAGCCCAAGCATTTTGATAATGCGGTCTTGCATTTTCAATTGTTTCTGCAGTATAGAAAGCACCACCTACAAATAAAATGATACATATTCAGTTTGCTTCAAATCCCTCCCCATATTTTTAGTGTTTGTAACAAAGTGATGAGAAGAGTCAGAGACATGATTCCTATCATTCGAAAAACAAAACTTACTAAATAGGCTTTCAGTAAATGTCCTTGCTTTTACTCGGCAAGCTTGCTGGTAGCTTCTGTTGATATATCTTTTATTACTCTAAAAGTTGATATTTTATTTTTGTTCTCTGTTTGGTAGCAACAGTGCTTCATGTTAGGAAATGAAGCTTGATTTCTGCAGAATCTATTCCTGCCAAATGGATTCAATAGAAATATTTGCTTGATTTGACTTCTTACCTTCAGAGGGAAGTTGAGAAGCAAATTCTGATGGCAAAGTTAAGAGAGCAAAGTCCTGAAGTGCAGCAAGCCAGAGTTTGCTCAGATTCCCTAGATCCACTTGGACTAAATCCAGAAGTTCATCCACTGAAGAGGATGGATCCCGGAAACTTTCCTCTGAAATGTTTTTAACCAAAGGTGGACTATTGATGCCATTTTGTTTCTTCTGTGTTTGTAAGGCAACTATATAAACCTGTTTGAAATAGGAAGAGCAAATGGAACGTTAAAGTTCTTACCAAACAGAAAATTCAAATAGAAAAAACTAATACCAGTTATGGTGTCCGAAAAGATTGCCAGCAACAGTAGATAAAGGTTACTGCTTTCAAGCTGTTTATTGGTTTTCATGAAGTCATTATTTGTTTGTAATATTCTGACAGTACAGTCAGCTGCAAAAACCTATTATCATACCTTTCTAATATTAATAAAAAATAAAAGAATTAATTCATCTTCATGCAAGCTGAATTATTGTTTTTATCTTGCCCGAGAAAGCAAGAAGCCAGTTTGGTGTAATGGTTAAGGCAGCTGGCTAGAAATAGAGAGACTGCGAGCCAGCTGAATGACTGAGCCAATCATTCTCTCTAAGCTCTAGAAAGCAGGCAATGGCAAGCCAGTTCTGAAACTTGCCAAGAAAACTGCAGGAACTAATGTCTAGGCAGTCGTCAGGAATCAACACTGACTTGAAGGCACACATACAAAGCAAAATATAACAAATCCAGCTATTTTTTTCTGAGACAGATTGAATTTGCCTTTCATTAAAGAATGGAAACTGATACAAGTAATGCCGGAATAAACAAATTGGAAAGATCCAGGATACTGTTTTCTCTGTTAGTAGGAATAGGATTTCTATAAACAATAATAATGCTTCTTCTTTTGTTGTACACTATTGGACAAAAGGCAAGGAAATTGTGTTTCCAATAAAAGGCTTTAATTTATATTGCACACATTTAATGTCATTTAATTTCATTGCATATAATAGATTATTTATATACATTTAATTCTATTAAAAATAGCATTTATTATCCCAATGAGAACAAATACTAGATAGCATACGTCCCTTGAAAAAAGCTCTTCAATTCCTAAAGTTATTATGTTAAGATTAATTTCTAGCTAGAAAGTTACTGTAAAAGGCCTAGTAAGAAATCATCTTCTAATTCGTTTTTAAACTCACAGTTCTTTTTCATAACTATTAATTCCAAAGCAGTGATGAAATCATCTTTATTAAAAAAAATACCTCTGCCCAAGCTTTTAGTACAGTGAGTATTTCCATAGTAGATGTCCCTTCATTGTATAGTTGATTTTGTGCTTCTTTTCCAGCCTGTACTTTTGTCAAGGACGTCACAAGCAAATGATGAACTCTTTGAAGGTCATTAAGATCATTTACTACACCACTTGCTATCCAAGCACTGCAAACCTAAAACACCAAATAATGTGGTTACTTTTTCTCTAGTGCAATAAACTCCTTTATATTAGTTACTGAAATATGGATGGTACTATCCTCTTGTCGTGTCCTATTTGCTTGGTTCTACATCCTATAAAATGCTGGTTTAGGTGGGTCATTTGCTCTGATCCAACTTGCTTCTTGTTATTTCTAATGCAATGCTACAGAACATGCATGTAAAATTATCCTATGTTTAGACTTTTTGATTCATTTATTTATTATAAAGTTTTCCAATATACAATCCCTTCATGAGGGAAATGGGCGGTTCTTAAATATGATAAATAAATAATGAGAAATAAAAACATAATCATAATTCCTTTAAGAAAATTATAATTTCTACAAATGAACTGACTGAAGGAGTTATTAGAAATAATAATAGCAATAAACACAATGAAAAGCATATGGCCTAAATAATCCTCTCTCTCTGATGTGATGATCCTACCCTGGTTCTCTGAAAATAAAATCTCCCCAGATAATGAGCCCAATTGGGATTTTGAGAACATGGGCTAAAATAAACCCTCCCCTGAAAATAAGCTCGCCCTGAAAATATTGCAACACAACAGCAGCCATGAGGTGACCATGCTTGCTGCCTCCTGTACCTCAAAAATAATAAGACCTCTCTGAAAATAAGGCCAAGTGCTTATTTCGGGGATCAAAAGAAAATCAGACCCTGTCTTATTTTCAGGGAAACACAGTAGTTCTTATTGACAAATATTTCATCATTGCCATTATCATATTTTATCTGTGATTGGCCAAGAGTTTGACACTTACATTTTAAAGAAAGGCGTGAGGTGGGGGGAGGGTGAGAGTCAGTAGAAACAGTGAGGAGAAAAAAAGCAACTTGCCTGACATGCTTTTGCTGTTACATCAGGTGGTGTTTCTGAGGTAAAGGCTGGTCTAAGAGCAGCACCAACCTAAAAAAAAAATGATAAAATGATACAGAGTCTAACATCTGAATAACTGTTCTTTAAGGAAGCTAATCTTAAAGTAGTTATATGAGACTGTTGAATAATAACAGTGATTAAATATCTATCCATTTGTATTACCAGCACATATCCAAAGAAAACACATTTAGATTTATTAAAATCATGCATTTTATGCAGAGGTGGGTTCCTACCAGTTTGCACCTATTCGGTAGAATCGATTAGTCAAATCTACCGAACCGGTTAGAAGAGGTTCCACCAGTGGATCCGGGAAGCAGGCCACACCTATAGAAGAGGTTCCAC